TATTCTGACAAGACCCTGTACACCCAGCTGTGCTTTTACCGGTACATTTTTGATGTGGACTGTGCGCTGGAGAAACTTATTACCGATCATGAGAAAGGTACGTTAAAATACTGTAATTACCTTTGAGTTTAAAATGGAAATTTGCATCATAAAAGCCAGACCTACTGTGTCAGGTTGTTCACGCAGCATCACATTGCTGTCTCAGAAGTAGGCCGTGGGGGCCCCTGTGAACACAGGGATCCCCTGCATGAGGGGCGGCAGTATAGGAATCCCCAGCTTTGGCCCCCACAGCCTGTCTCACATTGTGCTCCATTAAAGCAGGACTTTGGGGGAGGAACAGTACAAAAAGGACTCTTTAAATGCTATATTTTGAAAATGCTATTTTCTATAGAGTTTAGTAATTGTAATAAAGTAAGCATAGGCAACGTAATCATTGGGCCTACAAAAACCAGATATTACCACAAAAAAATAGACCTGGAGTGTGTCTCTGCTGTTCACTAAAAGCCTAGGTTCATTTTGAAAGAGAGGAATGGGGTGGAGTTCTTTTATTGACTCCATCCTAAGAGAGTGGATAGGCGCCTCAGCCATATGATCAGGTGCTGCCTGGAGCCCTTTGCACCCGATGTTTCCTTCTACAAGACTTGCAAGCACTGTGGGACTTAATGGGTCTGGGAAAAGCTTTGTTACATAACTTAAAGTATTTGAAAATGTCATGACAAGTGCATGTTTTTTCTCCTACCTGAAAATCACATTGACAACTTTTCTATTAGATGTAGAAAATAAAAAAGGCAAATTTACACATTTTTCTTATTAGTTGCCTACAGAGTGTTTATGTTGTTTGTCAGTGAATATCAATTCAACGTTTTGCTGGTCGGTGTTGGGACTGGAGACACCCTCAACAGCATATAAAAACCTACAAAAATTGCTGGATTTCCTCACATACCAATCCCCATGATGCCCTTGATTTGGTCTCCCTGTTTTCAATTCTAGTCATAATTGACTTCAGTTTTTACATCTATAAGGTAAGCTAGAAATTATTTTTAGAAATGTGCTGACTTACTTAGTTTTGCTGTCCTTTAATATAAAACATTTTGCAACTAATGAAGAGTTGGTTCAGATATTATTAGTATCTCATCTTTAGATGTTCAGCAAGGACTTGGCCTGTCTCCACAGTCTATTTTTCATGAATTAGTAAGATTTGTATACAGAAGGAGTTCCTTCTGTTCATTAATAACTAGGTTCTGGAACTTCTATTCATAACTAATATTTTTCCCATATTTACTGCTAATGTCATTAATAGCTGTTGTGTTTTGTTACCCCCAAAGACCTTTTCTTTAAAATAGTTATGATTTGAGAAAATGAGCTAGTGCATCATTTTCTGATGAATACATTGTCTGTTTCTCTCAGGCCTCTTACATCTTTCTGAGTATCACTATGTGAGAACCTGCTCCCCCAAGACTTATTTCTAAATGTAGCCTTCCTTGATTGTCCCCTAGATGTTCTTAGACTCCAAAGGGAGTGGATCTTCTTCTCTACAGCTCTAAAATTCCTATCTGAGAGGCTCTGTCAATCTTTTGAGATCAGTACTTTTCAAAACATCCAGTGGCACTTAGAGACATGCAGAGGAGTGATCTAGAAAGTCACCAGAGGCTTAGTCCAGCTTCTTGAAGAACATCAAGGAGTGCACATTGCTCCTCCTGAAATAAGGGGGACTAGAGTAGCCATTTGGAAGCTGCTTGCTTGGCAGATGGGAGAGTGTTGACAGGATCTGTACATTCACACGGGTTCCTGTAGTCCCATTTCACAGGTTTAAGAATTGGAATACGTTTTGATTATTGTTTATAATTAATATACTACCCAACAGTGCAGGGCAAAAACAGCACCACGTGAATTACTCGTTGCTTCTTTTGAATTTCAGAAAGCTAAAGAAAATAGGGGCCTGTGTTGTGGCACAGCGGGTAAAGTCGTTGCCTGCAATGCCGGCATCCCATAGCGGTGCCAGTTCAAATCCAGTCTACTCTACTTCCTATCCAGCTCCCTGCTGATGTGCCTAGGAAAGCAGTGGAAGATGGCCCAAATGCTTGGGCTCCCGTACCCACACGGGAGACCTAGTAAAGTTCCTGGCTTCTGGCTTTTGCCTGGCCCAGCCCTGGCCCTTATCCATTTGGAGAGTGAACCAGTGGATGGAAGATTCATTCATACCCCCCCCTCCGTAAATCTAGCTTTCAAATAAATAAATAAATCCTTTTTTAAAAAGAAAGCTAAAGAAAGTAAAACAAGAAGGATATAAACTGTACTCATGTGTATCCAACAGAAGAAACTTCATGAAATGTTCTAAAATCCCTTTTGTTCTATTGGATTTTATCTGTTGAAACTATTTTCCTTTGAGCATCCTTCTGCTCGTTTCCTATTCCTAATAACGTATGTATGAGTGAGTTAGCTAGAATTTACATGCTCAGGGCATTTTCAGATCCTGCATTAATGCCAAGTGGTTTTTGTGCCTAACAGTGTGGCCCAAGAGTAGAGATTTCCTGACATATGACTTCACTTAAGAGTTACCTGGGACATAGTAAAAATCCAAATCAATAGTAAAAGTCCAAATCCATGAAGCATATGCTCTACCGTGGGGTAGAGCTTGGAAAGTTATACTTTTTAGAATGTCCTCCCAGATAATTCTGACCTGCAGCCAAGTTTGATAGCCCCTGTCCAGGGTATTCTAAGCAAATCAGTTGGATGATTTCTAAACAAAAGTGAATAGAATATGAGTTGTAGTCTTTATAGTACAGAAGAAAACAATTGTGGGGGAAATTCCATAAATTTAAATGAATGTAAACTATATAAAATTTGCTTCTTGCTTTCTGAGTCAGAGTGAAATTCTCTCTTAGGATTTGCCATTCAAGGGGGACCTGCTATAAAAATGGATTTAAAATCTGTAGGAACCGGAGGACAAACATATTTATTCAATTTGGACCAAGGCCAGAGCACCAGTAGATGTTAACATCAGAAGTCCTGTGAAAAATGACAGTCGTTACACAGAGTTATATCATTGAGTATGGGCTCTAAGTATCATCTGTCAACAAGTGCCATGTAACTGGGGTGTGAAGTATTGACTGTAGACTCTCCCTTACTGTCACTGCCTAGCAACACTTCCTTCCCAAGATTGTTTTACCATTTCCATTATAAAGCCTGTATTTTAAGGGTTGTAACTGGATGGTGGTTTTAATTTTTGTTTGAAACTTGGCAATTTGACTTGGAAAAAACACATACACATTATTTGAAAGATGTTTATTTATTTTTACAGTGCGAAGTAGCTCTGTCAAAGCTTTTTCTGTGCTTTGCTTTCAATTGAAAGTTTACAGGCCATTAGTCCATAATGTGAATTAACCCCATTTGGTATTTTTCCCTTTCCTTTAAAATGGTAAAGGACTGTTATTCACTTTGGTGAAGTGTTTACTGCATATTCACTGTAACTACACAACATTTTAAAAATCGTATTTCTGTGGGTCTTTGGCATTATTATTGTAACTGCTCCAGAATGTACACAGATGGCATAATGGATCCAAAGGAGGTTTTAGAGGAACACTGTGGCAATATATGAAGTAAAAACCTATTTCCAGGATTTCAGCACAAAGTGGTCCCATTTGACTGCCTCATCCCATGGTGCCTTGGCCTGAGTAGGGATAAGTGAACAGTTTGGGGAAACCTGAATCAGTTCAAGTCTTTGCCCAACTTTCTAAATTAAGTCTGCTTACAAATGCAGACTCGCTTTTCTCAGTTGAGCCTTTTTGTTGTTTATTCAGCAACAACAAAAACAACATACGTATCATTCCTATTAGCTTTGAATGCCGTCCCTCATATGAGAGGAGCGGAATGGGTGGTCAACTCTCAGCTGCCCTGGAGGAGCTTAGAGTCTGCCGAGCAAAGATCGGTAAATGTTGTATGGCCTGAGTGCCACCACCAGTCTGCTCCAGTTGTAGAAGAGAGACTGGGAGCCACTAGCTGCCTTTTCACTTCAGTGTTTATTTGCTCTTTCTTTATTTCTAGAAAGACACTTCTTTTCTGTTCCTATTCTCTCCTTAGAGACTTAACTCTGTGTCAGCTGTTTGTAATAGGATGATGTGGTAGTCTGCCAGGGCTGCCTGACGTCAACAACAGCGCCGCAGCCTAGATATCCAGGGATGAAGGGTTGACTTCTTCCAAGGCCTTTCTCCATGGCTTGCAAATGCCTGTTTTCTCTGTGTCGTCACCGGTGTTTCTCTCTGTGCTTGATCTCCTCATATTATAAGGACGCCAGTCGTTCTGGATTAGGGCCCACCCAAATGGCCTCATTTTCACATACCTGCTTCTTTGAGGGCCCTATTTCCAAATGTAGCCAACGTTTTGTGGTACAGAGTTGAAGACTTCCTACAGTATGGATTTTGGAGGGGAGGGAGCACATTTCAGCCCATAGCAAATGGTCTACTTGGTGACTCTCTCTATAAACCCCTTTGAACATGTTGCATTTGTCTCTGCCAGAATTGGAACACTAGGATTTAGGATTCTACTGAAGAAAGGAATTAGAGTTGAAGCATGTGGATGGTGATGATCTAACCTTAGGAAACGTCTCTGTTAAGAAGCCTGACTTCCCCGCAGGAATCCTCAGGTCACCCTTTTTTGTGGCTGGGACCTCTAGTGGCCCAGCCTCAGGAGCAGCTTCTGTAAACACGCTGTGCTCGGTGCTCCTCTCCGCCTGGTGAAGCCTTGCGCTCACTTCTCCCTCTTAAGCTCACTCTCTTTCTTTAGTAGTACTTTTCTTCTTCAGCTTTTCAGTTTCTTGGTACTGTGTCTTCTGCCCTTTCTTGAGGCTTCGTTGTAATATATGTAGGCATTTCTTGTTTCCATTAGTGCCACTCCGAACTAGGCTGTTCCTTTGCAAGGTGCTTTATAGCTTACTGTGGTCCTTTCACACGGGGAACTCAAGTCCTCTCAACAGCCCTGAGAGGCAGCAGTGGATCGTGCTGGGTATATTGATGGCAGATTTGACACATGTAAATATGAATTCGCTTCCTTGGCACTCCCACAGCAGCCTCTGAATGCCCTTCTCATAGTTCTTACCCT